TCAATTCGTTGACCAATTTACCGACCAACGTTGGTCGGTATTTAGTTTAAAAAAAATATAAAATTTTTTTTCCCCAGTTTCTGTCCAACGTAGACGGTTTTTGGTCGCTTTTTTTGACCGACCAACATTGGTCGAAAATATTTGGTCGATTTTTAGTAGTGTGTCTCGACTAATCTAAATTCGCTTTGTGTGAAACCCGTTAAAATGGAAATCACTCCCTATCAGGAGCTTTCGCATCCTTAGAGCTTGAATTGAGGTGGAGACTATTTCTTACTCTTATAGGTACATATAAATTTATTAAAATTAAATCAACATCTTGTGGCTGTAGTTTAGTGGTGAGAATTCCACGTTGTGGCCGTGGAGACCTGGGCTCGAATCCCAGCAGCCACATTATACGTGTTTTTCTACCCTTTTTCTCCCGACTCATTTGAGAATTACTCCTAAAACGACGCCGTTATACCCTACCAGCACGCACATTACATGTAAAAGCCACTTAGCAGAGGAGCACGACGGACGAGAATCGGAGATTGTCGCCATTGCCTTCTGAAGAAATTTGCTGCTTCTTATCAGTGTAAGTTTCTCAAAATTTCACCTTTCCTTCATTATAAATTCGTGCCTTTTCTTCTTAATTCTATCTCTTTTTTGGCGATCTGCTCCATAATTTTGCTAATAAGTGAACCTGATTTCTTTGTTTTGTTGTTCTTTTATTTATGTTTTCTCTAGTTGCCTCTGTCATTTTTTTTTGGTATGATGTGGATGATCAAAGGAGTAGTTCGTGTTATTTGAATTTACGTAATTTTGATAGGAAACTGTTGTCTCCATTAATTGCTTGATTTGCTGTTTACTGTGGTTTGACCTGTTATGTTAGAACGGGTTATAAAAGCTTATGCCTTATGGTTACTCTGAAATAGAGAAGGAGTGTTCTTAGCCAACTCCAATTTTGATTCGTAAAGATTGTACTCTTTTGGAGACAAGTTCCCGTCGTGTGATTTTATGTGTATCTCGTTCCCTTTTAGCACTTTTAATCACAATAAATTGCATCTATTGACTGGTGCATTTGAAGGTGTACGTAGAACATGTTCAAATAAGCTTAAGCGACCTTCTCTCAGTTCTTATCATGTGAACTTCCTGTAGCCTTTATCTAATGTGATGGTTTCTTAACTTGTCCAATTATTTAAGATCACACATCCATTTTGACTGTCATCTCGTGGAAATGTTGGTGTTTAGAGCTCAATATTCAATCCCTTATAACATTTAGTAGTCTGAGTTCACAACCGCTGTATAAAACATTCCTTTCACTTTGTTCAGCATCTTCATATTGGCTATGCACTCCTCTAGAATTCATCCTTACTAACCTATTTCAATTCTATCTGCTACTTCCTCTATTATGCCGTTATACTATAATATTGAGCTATGAATCGCCTGCACATAAGCAACACAGTTTCATCCAATCATGAAAATGAGTGAGTCAAAGTTTTCTCTTTTTTATGTAACATATTTGTCAAACAAATATGTGATGCTACATATCAAGATACAGATATTTGGTACATTTGTATATTTCTTATCATGTAACTTCTCTTGTTAACTATATTACCGTTTACTTTCATTATTGCATACATTATAAAGCTTGTTTTATGAAATTTTATAATTTTACATAGTTTGCAATGTGTTTTGAATGAATCTATATTTTACCTAATCAAAATCTTATCATTTAGGCCAGCTGATCTAAATATTTGAACTTGTCATTGAGATAAAAACGTTGAGACCTGTCACTGCTTGCATCTTAATCATTAAATAGGTATCATTTCGACATTCATGGTTGCACTTACAGATTTGAGTGCTAGGCTTGCAGTGGCTGAGAACTCTTTAGAATGCTAAGGTCGAAAAGAGTAGTGTAAGGATAAATAAACTTAACGACACACTTTTTTACGGTTATGTCATATAAAGATCATTTGTATGCATGCTTATTCTTTTCCTTTTTCTTTCTGGTGTTTAAGTTATTATTATCCCGTGTATTTTCAGGAACAGAAAATGGAACATGAGTCATCTTGTGTTAGTTGACTTATCATTGAGATAAAACTTTGAGACCTGTCACTGCTTGCATCGTAGTCGTTAAATAGGTAGCATTTGGAATTCATGACTGCACTCATAAATTTGAATGCTAGGCTTGCAGTGGTTCAGAACTTTAGAAGGCTAAGCCGTTAAGGCCAAAAACAGTAGTCTAAAGGAAAAGAAACGTAGCAACACAGTTTTTACTGTTGTGCGGTATAAGCATCAGTAGAAATGCAGTATGACATGAGTAGACTGTGTTGTTGTCTGGTGTGTATACATTCTTTCTTTTTCTTTTTCGTTTCTTTTTGATGTTTAAAGTATTATTGTCCGTGTATTCAGGAACATAAAGTGGAATATGAGTCATCTTATGCTAGTTGAGGTCTCAAATATTGGTTAATTTTTGCACGAATTGTTACAGATGATGGACGACCAGGACCTGGGCTTCTTCGCCAACTTTCTTGGTATCTTTATATTTGTGCTAGTGATTGCTTACCATTATGTGATGGCGGACCCAAAATATGAAGGCAATTGAAAGTTCATAGATCTACTCCTTCACTGATAGTAATTTTCAGTTATTCTATATATTAGATGAATGAATTTTGATGTGCCAAAAACATTTTCTCCTGAACATCGAGTTGTATTTGGAAGCAGGTTGCTTAGATAATTTATCTAAGACTATTGATTAATCATGCAATATTTCGTACATGAAAGTTTATCAATTGCATAAAGGGGGTCGAAGTTTTGCGTAAAGGGGGTCGAAGTTCTTCTTTGTATTGCTTTCATAAGATATTTCTGAAGTGTTTGTTTAACTCTACTTTTTTCTTTTTTCGTTTGAGGATGTTCAAAAGTAATTATGGGTCTACTTCTACTTTCCGAATACTTGAATTCTAGAAGTCTTTTATTTAAGGGGGAAACATATAAAAAAGTGGCTTTCTTCTGCATAACTTTCAAAGTTGAGTCAATATAGAGTTAGGCTGATGTACTTCCTTTGTTCAGATTTATCAGTTTGTTTAGCTTGAAAATAGAGAGGAAAATATAAGTTTTAGGCTCAAAGATTTCAGAACTAAGGTCTTTTTCTTGTATCTGCTGTGATTTGGTTGAGAAAATTACTGTTACTAATATTAATGTTGTTGGAATATTATGGAGAAGGGTAGAGGAATGGACTCATTATCTATCGAGTTTTGAACCGTCACTAGTCTCGAGGATTTCTCGGTTATCAAAATAAAAAATAGATAAATAATGTGGGAATATTATTGCAAAATTTCGTTAATGAAAAGGGTTGCCTAATGGATCTTCCCAGTTCACCAATTCTTTCATACCCTCCTCTATATCTTTTACTTCGTTCATCAAACATCTCATACAAAATCCTATGGAACACCAACAAAGAACCGTCTTTCTTGTGAGCTCTCCATTGCCTTCAATGGACGTCGTCTTATCAGCAACCTCCTTTGAGTGTTCAAGAATATAACTTAAAGTTTTCTGTTCCTTATCACTCATAGAAGAAGTTGTATACTCACATTGTGACTTTCCCTCCTCAAGGTCATAACAGATCTGCTCTTCTGGCTGATCTTGGGAAGCTCTTAAAAGTCTGATTGAAATGGTTTTCCCGATATAGCTCATTGAAGAGCTTAGAGCTTCCTTGATAATCTCTATGTCCCTGTTAATGTGTTCTTGAATATCCTTTCTATCATCATCACGGCTATGTAATGTTTGTGAGAGGGATTCTATACTGTTGGCCATGAAATACAGTAGGTGCATGACGTTTGATAGAGATTTATGGAGCTTTTGGTAGCAAGAAGCAGGAAAAGGCGTAAACCAGAAACCAGGTTCCAACTCTGCATCTACTATGAACTTTTGCAAGTCCTCTACTTGAGAATTCAGATGCCTTTGCTTCTCTATAAAGTCATTCTGCCCTGAATCCAGGACAATTTGTTTAGTGCAAACTTTTAGTGTTTCCAAACACAGATAAAGATGATTTTTTGCAAGAGTAGCTGCTCTTGTAGGTTGAAAAACAAGCTCGATGATAACAAAACATGATAATCCAATCAAGGCCTCGGTGAGTCTAGCGATGGCAAATTCACTTGGGGGACCATAACCCTTTCTGCCCAAAATTAGTAATGCTCCAATGACTGCTGCATCTCCTCCTGCTGTAGAGTACATCTTACTGTGCCTCAGAATTGAGGTAAAAATAATCCAAGGGATCAGGGCTATGAACCTTAGTTTTGCAAAATTTTGAAAAACACTGCAGCCTAGTATCCCGTAGACTGATCCTAGAGCTGTTCCTTGTGCTCGAGCATTTGCAACTGTAAAAATTGCTAGTTTTCCTGTTTCAAAGCTGATTGCTAAGGTAAGGCCTGACCAGTATCCATTTTCTCTATTAAATAGCAGACCAAGTAGCACAGCCAGACCTAAAGAAATTGAACACTTGCATGTGAATACCAGTCTTTTGCTCATGGCCGTAATCCAATTGTTGCAGACTTGTCTAGAGCTAGCTCCATTACTTCCTTGTAAATCTTTGTATCCTTTAGTTATAGGTTTACTCATGGTTAAATGATTTATGCACATTTTGATACAAGACAAGAAGAAAAGTGCTGGTTGATCTAGGTTCGTCGGGAAAATTGGCTCAGGGGACAAGCTGGAAAACATACTCTCAAACTCTTCTTCTGTTTCTGGAGCTACCATTGAATGGGATGGCAAAAAGCACCTAGCTTGCTCCAGTTTTAGAGCAAGCAACTGTAGCACACGATGTGAGGCGCTTATCAGCTCTTCATCTATCATTCTAGTTAGAAAACAAGGACAAGAAGTTAAAGCCATTTCCATTCCCTTCATTGGACTTTCTATATCATGCAAACCATGTCCTGGGTCTGTGAAGCAGGGACTTAAGAATCTTAGCCAGGGTTTCTCCCACTGTAAACTCTCCTGTTCAAATGAAAGTGGGTGTTTAGGTAATTGAACTAACACTGAAGGGGCTAACATTCACTCAACCAAGATATTATATTTTGAAGGGTTTATAGTAGTGAACAGTTTACACTATCGGTGTATTTCAACTGTTATAGTAGGTTATAATCTACTTTATTTTCCGGGTTATAGATCATGTATGTGATAAGTAGTTGTATGTAACTTAACCATTTTGTGTAAAAACATTATGAAATTAAACTCTTTTTTACGAACCACAATCTTACCTCCAAGAGTTTGATACTCTCAAGAATCTTGGATCCTGTTTCAGAGATGGGCTTGGCTTGAGATACTAGCTCTATAGCTATCTGCTCATCTCGACTATGGACGGCTTTGAGATAGAGATTTATTCTCTCCGAAGCGTTTTCAGCATACATATGGTATAGTTTCCTCAGCTGTTAGCAATACAAGATATTAGCAATTGAATCTTTATTTTCTCTGATTGCTATCTAATGAAACTGTCTCATGATACAACAAACTAATTTAGTCTTTTCATTACCAGATTATAAGTTGCATTAAATAGATTCCAAAATACATAACTATTCTTAGTAATGTATTATAGGGCAGACTTATGGTCTAGGGTACTAGAGTAACGTTAGAAATTCCTAATGGGAGAAAGATTCAAGCGCTCAAATATAATTTAACATGTTGTAGTAGGTTACCTATCTTATTTTCCATGTAGCTAGTTTCACTTATTATGGGTTGTTCTTGCAGTTATTTTTAGGTGAAGTAATAGTGTAAACATTCTTTTTTCACTGCAAGTTATATATAAGTTAAAAACTCATTAGAAAATTCTAAATTAAGCTGAATAGTTAATAATCGCATCCCTTAACGGAGCTAAATAGGTAGTACTTTCTATTTCAGGGGTATGCAATACGGGGAATAAAAAATCACCGCATCCCTTAATACAAGTAGACGACGATGATATTTTGTTTCTTCTGTTTCTTGTCTATGGACATTCAAAGAAAAGATGTTGCACTGTTTCATTCTCCTTGTCACATAAGGGGCATAGTTGATCTGGAATGATACCCCATTTTGCCAATTTTGTAGATAGCCTATTAAGAAATGCTAGTCTCGTAATAAAAGTCCACTTTGGCAATCCCTATGATTATTGCATACTAGCTTTCTCCATGCCACCTTCTGAAATCACCTTGCATATCTTTATAGATTTGTCTAATTGAGAATCTTTCCACATGGTAAACATCTTTTTCAGTGTATCCAGCAGCCTCAAAGTAGCGCTAAGCCTTTAAAACTTTTTTTGCATGATCCAGGAAGCATTCTTTGGTTCTGTGCCCCATACATTTTTTCCTTTTATGTAGTATGCGTGTACCCATATCGCCTATAGTTTCTCCTTCTTTGTGCAGATGTTCCATAAGAGCTTACATATTGTTGATTTATTCCACATTTCTACATCAATGAAGTTAACGCCCCCTGTTACCTTAGGTGCACAAAGCTTTTCCCAGGCAATTAATGCTTTTTATTAGGTTCAGCAACCCTTGTCCACAAGAATATTCTACATATAGCCTCAATGAACTATATTATTTTCTTTGGTAAGATGAAACTTGAGCCAGAAGATTTGGACAGCAAATAGGACACTTTTCACTAGCATAACTCTTCCTGCATAGGATAGGTACTTAGTAGTCCAGTTCTAAACTCTTCCTAGCATCTTGTCGATCAATGGTTCACATTGAACAGTTGTTAGTCTCTTTGTGCTTAGAGAAACTCCCAGATATCTAAAGGGTAGATCACCTTTAGAGTAACCAAGTAGTTCCATGATTTGTTTCTGGACCTGACAACTAACTCCACCAAAGTAGACATTGCTTTTGTTTGGATTTGCTACTACGCCTGAGGCTGCAGAAAAGGTTTGGAACTAATTGTAGAGTATACTTACAGACTGGAGGTCTCTTTTGCAAAATAATAGCAGATCATCAGCAAATCCTAGTTGCACCAGGTTGATTTTTGCACATTTAGGATGAAATTTGAAGCTCTTGTTCTCCTTCAAAGGCTTTAGTAACCTACTCAAGTATTCCATAGCCATTACAAATAGAAATAGGGATCGGGGATCTCCCTGTTTCAATCCTTTCTTTGCCTCAACGGGTGATGTTGGCTTGCTATTGATAAGGATTGAATATGAAACTAAACATACACGTGTCATTATCCATTTGACAAATATCTTAGGAAATCCCAGCAGCTTCATCACTTGCTCAATGAAAACCCATTCAACAGAATCATAAGCCTTATAATGGTTGTAAATTTTGACGGTTTTTTGTATAAGGACATAAAAACAGCTAGTTTTGTACGCGCTCACTCGACATAGTTTGTCCAAAACATCCTAGATTGACATAATTCTTTCTATTTATAATTCATCAGATTTTAATTACTAGTTTAATCACCTCTCTTAATTTCATAATTATGGCCTATATATAATTTAAAAAATTAAATTTTGACTACTATTATTATTATTTTTGCGAGTATCATAGTATTTTTGACGTCCTTTTTGCAGCTATACTAGTCAATAATAAAGTAAATATTAAAAAATTGTAATGCATGATAACATAATAGGTTTTCTCTGATAACATTTTCACAGTTAAATGACAATCAAAAAAAAAAAAACTTGGCTCTCTCTATTACAAAGCTGATTCGCTAAATGTAGATCTATATGTAAAAGTAGAAATAAAGTGTTATTTCTATATGATATTATTTATTTTTAGTATGTTTTTAAAAAATGATATATTAGTATATTTAAACTTTTACATTTTAAAATTCTCGTATCACCCTTAGTGGTATAGCAATTTAAAAAATATAATAATCAAAAAGTGCTGGACATTTTTATTGATAAATAGTTGTACAGCCAAGGAATAGGGGCAAGCCTAAGCTCCTTCAAACGATAATTTTGATATGTACCAAAAGTATTTTTTTCCCCTCAAAATTTGTGTTTGCCTACCCCTTTAACATAGAACAAACTCCGTTACATTATATTAGCAGTGGCGGATTTAGCCTTCTGGTACCGGATTCAATCAAATCCATAACTCTCGACGTAGAGCATAAATTTATGTGTAGAACTTATTTAAAATTATAATAATTAGTAGATATGAACCCACAATTATAAAAAAAAATATGTTTAATAATAAAAACCTTAAAAGTTGAACTCATGGAGTTTAAATCTCATATAT